TTGTTAGATAGTTATAGACCTAGTAAAACAATCTCGTACAAATAAAAAGATAAATAAATATATAAAAATCAGATATAAGTCTGCAAAGAGTTCATTAAGAATATTATTTCATTGGATTATGTTAAATCTGAAAAGAATATCGCTCATCAGTTTGCGGTCTATCTGGGAGTGCAGTCCTAGACTTGTCGAGGGGGATGGGCTTAAGCCCATAAGGGAGCCACTTATGGAGGTAGCCCAACCTTTGTGATTGGAGATTCCATGAAGAAGGTTCAGTGGGTAGAAACAATCACAATATGTGACTCATTTTAGCACTATCTTCAAGAGACACTCTCTTGCTCATCTCTATGTTAGTAGTGCTGAGTAATGTAACATTAGGAAGGGTATTGACCTAAATGAGCCCGAGTTACTCATTTTTGCAATGTATAGGTCACATGTACCCTTGGAGGTCTCACCTAGTGAGAGCTGTTGTGAGGCCGCAAACATAACAATTGTGCTACTCTCTAGTAACTCATGAGAATCAAGATACAAGTGCATGGCCATTAATAGTGCTAACTTGCAAAACTAAGTCAATCATCAATGCTATGTGTGTGATATGTTGAAGTTTGGTTAAAGGGTCTGAGTTGAAGACATAGTTCACTTAAGACCTTCAAATGAAAATTCTCAACACTAAGTGAGGGTTTAAACCCAAAAAGTACCTACCCCTATTACATGGTATATAGTTGCCGTAACTTCTTCTTCTTTTTATTTTTATTTTTTATTTTTATAATAATTTTAAGTTTGGAAATTTTGTGGAGGATTGTTAATGTAATTTAAAGATTTCTCAAACTTCTTTGAACGATTCCTTTGGAATCCTGATTTTATGCGATGTTATTGGATTACAGAGTTATTTGCTTATTTTTCTCATACTTAATTTTTTACTGTTGTATTCCATGTTTATAAATACTAGGAAGTCCAATAGTCAAGAGGAGTACACAAAACAAGAGAAACATTATTTCCATATACTTCTGCTAGACTGCTACTGCTTCTTTCCTTTCAATTTCATTGTCAATTTCCTACTTTCATCGTAGTTTAACTAGTTTTTGGGGCAATTGATCGTCGGCTTGGTAGTGGACATCCTGTCAACGTGCTGACAGAGGAGAGTCAGTGGCAGTCAGCAATTAGGGTTTTATCTTGGAGCTGCTATAGCTATCACCACCTGCATAGGAGGAAATAACAGCTTTAGGCCAGCGTGTTCAACACGTGCCTCGCCATAATCTTTCCTTTTCCTATATATATTTCTGCTATTATATTGCACTGTTAATTGTTAATGTTGCTGAATTAAGTATATAAAATTTACAATTTCTTCATTTTATACATAACGAAATTAATGTTAAACCCGCAACTTGAAAATTTAAAGTTACAAACAGTTCAAAGTCAAAAGTTGTATAGGAGAAAAATAGAAAAAGAAATGTTTCACCTTAAAACATACCTAGTAGAGTTTAAAGAAAGGAGGTTTTGCTGGTCGGAACTTTTTACATTATTTAGCTAAGTTTGAATTTACTGAATTATCGATTAGAATGTTGTTAAATGGATAATATCATAATGGTAAAACATTCATTTTTTTTTTCTTTCCCAGATGATTCTAAATTTTGGCTACGTTTCCAAATATTTGTGTGGCTGATATTTATTGTAATACCCCTAATTTTAAAAGGATAGTCTCGGTATTTATTTATTTGTTTTAATTGTATTTTTAATTATTTAATTGATTATTTGACTAATTGCTTATGAGTTTAATTGAATTAAGTGTTACTTGAGTATTTGATTATGTGTTTATGTATTATTTGTATTTGTCTATGTGTTAATTGTTTAATTAGATTATGTACTTAAATAGTGTTTTGATTAATTGTAAATTAAATATTTTATTTTATTTTATTATTTTATTTTATTTTTCTTTTATGGTTATGGTTAGTGGTAATGGGCCAACTAATTGGGTCTCATGGGCTACTTGGATAGGAGGTTGGATGAGTATGGATTATTATCCATGGATAGTTGTGTGTATATATATATATAAATATATATTATATACATATATAAAAGGAAAAGTAATTTATTAATTTTTTTTATGGTAAATTGGGTAGTAATATTTAATCTGATGTATATATTTTATATTTAAATAATAAAAATATATATAGATTTGATACGTGTTATGTTTTAAGTTATTTTATAATATTATGGTAACTTAAGTATTATTGGATAATCCATTAATAAATAATGGGTAATGTATTAATTACTTTTATTGGTAACTTGGGTAATAATATTTAATTTGATGTATATGTTTTATATTTAAATAATAAAAATATACATAGATTTGATATGTGTTACGTTTTAAGTTACTTTATAATATTATATGGTAACTTAGGTATTATTGGATAATCCATTAATAAATAATGGGATGTGTATAGTTTATTTATTTAATAAAGATATACATAAATTATATACGTAACATATTTTACTTACCTTTTTAATATTTTAATATATATTTTTTTAAGTTGACTTGGATTGGGAAAAGGGTTAGGGTTATTTTATTTAGCCTATAAATATATAGCTATAGGTTATAAAAGGGGATTAAAAATATTCACGTGATATATTCTAGAGAAAGAGAGTTAGAGAGGGAAGGAGGAAAAAGAAGGAAGGAGGAGAAAAACCCTGTAGAGAGAAAATGAAGGAAGAAGAAGTTTAACTTTCGATCCGAAAGTTTAAGGCAAGTTCTTCTTCTATCTCTTTCCCTTTGATTCGTGTTTTTATACATGCCTAGGAAATTTCAGGATTTATTAAACACATAAAATTAAATAATTATGCATGTTTAATTGGATTAGAACATAGGTTTTATGAAATTGGTTCATATTTGTTCTTGTGTTATGAATTGATAAATGCATGATTTTGATTTGATTTCTGGTGTGAATTTTTACATGTTTAAATTATGTATTTTTCATATTTGTGGAATGATGGAACGTAGAAACATGCCTAGGATTCCGGAACATTAAATAGGGACTAGGTTTGGGTTTAAATAAATTTAAATAGACTCAATCATAATGATGCTTGCTATTTGAATGTTTTAAACAAACGAATGGATTTAATATTTTAAAATGTTTTAGTAATTGAGATTAAATGTGTAGAATGAATTGGATATGGAGAATGCTTATTTAACGGTATAATAAAATATCATTATGTATAAGAATCAGTTTGTGTAGGACATATAATATAAGAAACTTAAATAAATAATAAGTCATTCCTATTATGTGATAACTTGATATCATATTATCATAGTTATTTCTGGAATGTTTGATGTATTTACTTAATTGTTACATCAATTGTTGGATTGTGTGGTTTAATGCACCGGTATGGGACGGTGGCATTCTAGGGACGGATTAACTTATCAGTTAAGTCCTACCTATTTTATATAAGGGAATGGATTAACTAAAATGTTAAGTCCTACTTATATTCAAGTCAGGTCAGCTGAACAAGTTGAATGACTTATGGAGGATTAATTTATTATATAAGGGAATGGATTAACTAAAATGTTAAGTCCTACTTATATTCAAGTCAGGTCAGCTGAACAAGTTGAATGACTTATGGAGGATTAATTTATACTGGATAGGATGGTTACTAGATTTTATAAATATAAGTATGGTGCCATGATATGAGTTTGAGTCTCACGATCAGTGGTTAGGGCGCGTATATCATCAGGGATGTGTAGTTAGATATAGTGTAGTTGTGTACCCTGGTAGGTTTAGGTACTCATGCCCACTATATGTGCGTTTTGCATGTTGCCTACTATTCAGGTTGAGACAACCCTATAGTCTAGTGAGGTTCCTTTAGTGTGTGTGTATATATATATATATATATATATATATATATATATACGGACTTCTAGTTACTGTTGGATTGACTAGGATGTATACGTGTATCGGATCTCTGCTTGGACTGTAGTAGAGTAAAACTTGTTTGTGGGCCTGACCCACCATTATTTTTCAGGTGTTCGTCAGGAGTAGAGGTTGTTCGTGCTGAGCGGGGATCAGTCTACTTCATTCTTCCGATGCTACATAGGAGTTCCTTTATGATTCAGTTTCCTAATTTAGACAGTTATTGCTGTCATTTGTTTAGTTTAGATTTTCTAGGGGTCCACATAGTATGGATTCCCGAGTTGTATTTTGGAGAATCAGTTGTATCAGAAGAGTTTATTAATTAATGGAAATATATTCTGAGGTTTATTATTAGATTATCATTTTAGTTTCTTGTCAGCATTTTATTTATTCTTCTTTATTCTTTTGTACTCTGTGTTCGTTTATTGCCGATTTTGTTTTTGATATCCTCGGGTATTCGGGCGTGGGCCTGGCCAACCCGCATTCGGGAATCCGGGGGTATCACATTTATCACCTGAATTTTAGTGCATTTCAGAATCTGAATTGGGCCAGAATCATGCACAAATTTAAAATTTCAAAATATGTTTCTCATTTAACTCATATGCAGACTACAAATTTTAGGTGCATACAGCAACTGGACTCCATATATTTACATTTGTGTTGGTTCTTTCAAGCAGATAGGAACTCTCCATGGATTTATGGAATCCTCCTGCTTTCATGTTATCAGTCTGAACAATTCTTGTTACTCCATGACTGCATTTATAATGAATGTGTATGGTGAAATTTTTTGGCTTCATTTAGTATGATGAACTTTATCTTTTCATAGGTGATAGGTTTTATAAATAAACACACTCTATGATTCTTTTAGTTGTTCTTTCATTTAAAAAAGCATTTTCGCCTGAGGAATCGGACAATGCTGTTGAGGAATTCCAACTGAAAGTGATTATAAATGATGACATGTAGAAGAGTTTTGTTTGATTGATTCGACTCTTACCTAGTGTATCAGGAATATAGCACTAGCTTCATACTTGGCAAATACTTGTTTCAAATTTGATTACATGATCTCTATCTCTCCCCTAATTTTTCTTCTTAATGTAGGATCCTATTGTTGCTGGTATAGAGGACAAGATTGCAACCTGGACCTTCCTACCTAAAGGTATGCCACATGCTGAAGAACATTTTACTCATTACAAATTTTCCTGGTATTCATTTATCCTTCCACTGTGAACAATTGCAGTTCTTTTTCTTTATAAATAAAATAACTAGTTATTTAGTTAGAAATAAAGGCTGCTACAATCCAGGATTTTGTCACTGAAGAATACAAAAAGAAATCTAACTAAATCCAAGTAAGTGTATTGAAATAAAGGTTCTTTCTGCTTAAGGAGGTTAAATTGAAGGTTTTGTAGTTTCAGTGACAATCACTCCTCTTGCTGCTGAAAAGTCATCACCTGCACCTGAAAGCCTACCAGAAACAAGCGAGGTATTCTTCTGTACTTAGTTAAAGAGAAGGTCCATATAGCTTGGGTAACGTTTGCTAAGGTGGCTACTCATGGGTTCTAATTTTAAATATGCGTAAATAAAATATCCCAAAATTTCAGTCACTCAACCAGTGGATTTGCATGACGTGCACATAATGGATGCTGGTCCAAAAGTAATATCTTTTGGATTGCAAATTCTTATATCTATAGTTCCGTATTAATAGCTTTTTACACTATTTAATAAGATATTTTCATAGTCCATCTTATAATAAAGCTGTGTTTCATAGACTCTCTTCTTCCCTTTAACGTACCCATGTTGACCACACGACATGGGTACGAGTACTACTAGATTGGACACCCAGATCTAATGCAAGAAGAGACAAAGTTCAAATTTGATAGCAAAGAAGGGTTTCTTACTTGTGAGATAGATGAAAATTTTCATTTTCACCATATTCTATCAAATTTAAATTATAATAGCATTAGACATCACACTATTATATATAGAGTATTGTGTACTTAAACATGCAAGACGTGTCCATCCTAACCCATGGACACATTTCAAGCCAAGTCCCCGTATTATAAGATCTGCAATTCAAGAAGGTCCCACATTTAGACATACCCATACCCAATAGATGTAGCTGAATCCATGTAACATAGGAATTAAATACTTTTGTACAAGAACAAATATCAGTGATAATCATCACCATGTACAACTAGTCTTTGTCATGTATCGTTTAATGTACATTTTGTTTTTTGGTATTATTCACACTTTGATTTCTTTAGCTAGAGTGGCTTTAACAGAGTGAATACTTCATTATGATCATAAAATTGTGCCCTGTGATTGCCTGCTGGTTTTGGCATATTCATATAATACAGCACATCTCTGTCAAATGGCAGAACCTATATCCCCTGGAGATACTTGGGTGTACAAAATTTTTTTTTCGGGATAAATAATCACTTTATTCAAGAGAAAAAACAAATACAAGCAAAGAGAGGCATACCCCTAACAAGAACAAAGCCAGCCCTGCTACAGACCTAAGAAAACACAAAGGCAAGCAGGGACAAACACAGACCAAAAGAAAGATAGCGACAGAGAAGTCCTACTGCTGGACTGAGAACAACAGGGTACAAATGAACTAAAAAATTCCAATATGGAAGAAACCTAACAGAACTGCCATGAAATCTACCAGGATTCAAGGAAATCATTCCGAGTCTAATATAGTTGTAAATCTGAGGGGCCAAAGAGGATTCAGTAGGGAAGGAATTAGAATGTCTTCTATCATGTCTCTCTTTCCAGATCATGTAGACACAGCAAGAAAGAGAGACTTTATGAGCAAGATGGAGCCAGTTCTTCCTTGAAGGAGAAATTAACATATTACTTGGGTGTACAATTATTTCACATGCCTTGTGTATATAACATGGAAATGTAGATAAAAAAGGGAGCAATGTCCTCTAAGTTGGAATTATAGATGTTTGGGATAGTAAGAGCAGAATGAAGATTGACACCGGGTAATGGCCTATCATACTTGCATCCTGAAATAGTGTCCCGCTGTTATGCAACAAACGATGGCTTGACAAGTTAGAATAAATGATAACCCTATGGATAAAATCCCAAAACTGGAATAACCAGATAAAATATGTTTGAAACAATAATCATAATTTATAGAAATAAACAGTACTGAATTTGAGAACCCTGAAGTTAGTGACAGTCTTGGATTAATAACAGGATTTTCCTGTGCATTTGAATTTATAAGCTGGTGATAAATTGTGCTCCCAAATCCTGATGGTGAAGGTGCAAAAAAATAAAATCATGTAATGCATTATGGGAGGTCAGATATGCATCATATAAATGGGGTTGGCCATATAATTTCTCTTTTTTCATTCTTTTTTATTACAAATCATCCCACCTATAATATTTAACTTTTTAAAATAATTTCTAATAACTTTATCCCATGTTAATTTTGGTTTGGGTAGTGTCTATCTAGGGTTTCGGTGGTGTTGCAGCCAAACTAGGGTTTCACAACAAGGAAGAGAGAGAGAGAGAGAGAGAGAGAGAGAGAGAGAGAGATATCTTGATCGGCGATTGTCGCTTGAAGAACTCTTGCAAAGGAATGATGTGTGTGTGTGTGTGAGAGAGAGAGAGAGAGATCGACGATTGTTGCTCGCAGAACTCTTATGAGGGAATGATGCGTGTGTGTGAGAGAGAGAAACAGAGATTTTTGGAATCTGTCCTGCCTTCCAACACAGTTTCTGATTTCATCTTTTATGGAAGGTCAGATATTATTTAAGTTAAATTGATTAGAAATTTCCCATCGAACTTCTGTGAGTCAATTTGATTCCTTTTAAGAGTGGTAAATTACCGAAGTAACGAACTGGCACAAAATGAAACCATACATCGGAATTAGCTAACAAATTAATTGTCATCAGCTGATGTGTTCATTAGAATGGCAGTTGCAATAACTCTTGCCATCATGCACTTCTTTTTATTCCTTTCAGTGTTAAAAATTTCTTCAAGATGGAAAACAACATTATTAAAGTAGTAAGGTCACACTCAAATGTTCAAAGTTTGTAAAATGGTGTCAACTTCAAAATTTATTGAATGATGAAGAATCTGCAAGTTCTAATGATTGTTTCTTATTTCAGAAAATGGGGAAGCCATACAAGTGTTGAGATATGAGCCTGGGCAGAAATATGACCCACACTATGATTACTTTGTTGACAAGGTTAATATTGCTGAGGGTGGGCACCGTATGGCAACTGTACTTATGTATCTAACTGATGTGATAAAAGGTGGTGAAACAGCGTTTCCCTCAGCAGAGGTTAGTCCAAGTATCTTTTTCACTTTCGCAAGGTTACACTTTTATAATTCTTTATATTTTCACAATTCAATCATTATAATAATAATAATTTCTTTTTTGTGCCCAGTGTTCCATATATCCTGAAAGTCTGTCTACTTTCCTTATCCATAAATTGTCTCTTGCATGACCAACGGCCTAACTACTACATCCAATTAGAGTTCATATTGTTTGATCACTTTTAATAATAAGAATGTTTTAATAAATTATAGTGAAAAATGGCATGACACTCAGCAAGTTAATCAAAATCTACTTATTGCTGGAAGAACAGTTGGCAGGATAATTATCACACTGAAAGATTTGCATTATCTAATTACATCGGACTTCTGGGCTAGACTAAGAAGTACAATAATACTTGTCCTAGCAAAGACAACCGAGAAGGATTGGAATACCATCAAACTGTCAAGATTTAGGAGGCAATGTCAATCACTCTGAAGTCTGAACCAAATACTTTGGAGAAACCGGATGGCTTATGATAAAAATGATATGTTTCTGTTTCTATGTATATACGATTGAGTTGGTCAGTGCTTTTTAGTTTTTGCTGGTACTTTTTAATAAATAAAGAACTGTTGGCAGGAGTCTCCACATCATAGAACTTCTGCATTGGATGATGATTTGTCAGAGTGTGCAAGGAAAGGTATTGCAGGTGAGCCACTTGAAAAAATCATCATTGCTTTTATGATATATATATTTTTTCTTTTGGCAAGTACTTCAATGAAAATTTACCTAATGCATATTTGATTACCCAGTAAAACCGCGAAAAGGGGATGCACTTCTTTTCTTCAGTCTCCATCCTTGTGCTATTCCGGACACTAGCAGTCTCCATGGGGGTTGCCCAGTGATAGAAGGTGAGAAGTGGTCGGCAACAAAGTGGATTCATGTAGATTCTTTTGACACCATCTTGGATATTGGTGGGAGTTGCACAGATGAGAATGAGAGTTGTGAAAGATGGGCTGCTGTGGGGGAATGCACCAGGAACCCTGAATATATGGTCGGAACTTCAGACCTTCCAGGATACTGTAGGAAGAGTTGTAAGTTATGTTGACATTTAAATTTATGTTTTCCACTTACTGTCATCCTTGTGTTGTATTGTACCACAGTTTCCCCTCTTTTTCAGTTGTGTTATTATTCCCCTCTTGCAATACTAAGCATTTTTGGCAGTAAGCATGTTAGTTCCAGTGCAGAAATTTTTGACATGAAATGCGGATACACATAAGGTTCGATTACATTGTATCCAAAACATTACCTAAACCATCATCTAGCTAAAACAGCCAGAACTTGGGAAATGTGATATTAAAATGTTTTCTCAGCACATGCAGAGCTTGAGAGTCTATGCCCTATTTTCCATATCCTCTCTTTTTTGGCCAGTCATTTTTTTTTCCTTCACTGACCGACCAGAAAAAATACCTTAAAACACCTGAATTCGACTAGAATTATGTTTATTCGTTACTTGGTGCATTGGTTAAAAGTTTGAGCAGAGAAGCATAAAGGCGTGCACCCCCGTGTTGGCAACAGCGGCATTGAGTGAATTTTTGTTGTTTCATGTGTAAACTTCCTGTTGCAAAATGAAAATCATTCGTTTGGGTTATATGCGGTCACATGAGAAGTTTTACATTCCATTGTACATGCTAAAAAAGGATCAGATGGTTGCGATATTTTCGAAGATAAAGATGGTTTTGTCTCTCAGGTTTTGCTGAGTTGTGACATTTTAACAGTTGCTACCTGATCTTTTTGCAGAGGGCAATCTATTTTTCTTGTGTTCAAGTGTTTATTCTGTTATCCACACTACACATCTATATATGCACCATGCAGCCCATTAAGAATCGTTTTTCATATTATAATCCTTGGTTCAAATTCTGATTCTATGCAAGATTTTTTTTTTTGTATTTTTTTGGAAGCATTGCCATTCTGAGACCTGTTTTCTGATATTAGTCAAGATCACATACATACGTACATACATACAGACACACACACACACACACACATATATATATATATATAGAGAGAGAGAGAGAGAGAGAGCATTTTCTTTCTTGTAGAGGAGGCTGGATTGCATACATTAGAGAATCTTGTGGAGTCCTTTTAGTTGATGATTTGGCTAGAGACACATGCATCCTTGTTGCTGCCTTCCAGTGGTGGTGAAACAGATTGATGAAACTAAATGACAATTTTCTGAGGGACCACACTCACATTTCCCATCATATTAAATCAAAGAAAAGGAAGCACAAGTTTGGCCGATCCACCTTCATCTTATGTATGTGATGCTTTTTTCATATTTTACTCCAATGTATAAACTATAATTCTAACCATGTAATACCCATTAAAATGGTTAAAAGTTTTTTATTTTTTTATTTTTTTATTTTTTTTTTGGAATTTAAGCAACTGAATAATTACAATGAGGGCTTTAGGCCGAAATAACCCAAAAGCTTGGACAGCAAGGCCAACAATTAAGAGAGGGGCTCGAAGCTTTGTCACGTGTGACTACCAGTCAAGTCGAGTTTTTGATTATTTGAGATTGTGCTTGACAATCAAACTCGAGCTCAAGTTATGAGTGTCTGATTATGAGCTCAAGTTAACCGTTTGATATATTTAGCCAATTTTGAATTGATGGCCGAAATAACCCTAAAGGTTGGAGAACAAGCCCAACAAATAAGAGACAGGCTCGAAGCTTTGTCACGTGTGATAGGACTACCACACTGCAAACGAGTGGAGTCGAGTTTTTTTTATTATTGGAGATTGTGCTTGACAATCAAACTAGAGCTCAAGCTATGAGTGTCCGAGCTCAGCTTGGACATTGCTAGTCAAGGTTGAGTTCGGTTAGTTTGATATATTTAGCCAATTCCGAACTCATTTTTTGTTATTTTTGAGTTTGAGCTACCGCTATGCTACCTAGGAATGGCAACGGAGCGGGGTAGGGTTCAGCCAAACCCGCCCTAACTTCGCCTCAACTTTAGAACAAGTTTGTGATTGTTATGCCATCACCGTCCCTACTCTAGTAACGAAGTACCGACTCTGCCTCACGTACTTGTTTAATTGTGGGGCGGGGCGGGTACGTTATGCCACTTTTATTATTTAGTAAACTAACCCCAATGGGCTGATAAATAAGCTAACTCAACTTTTAAATTACTAAATATTGAATAGTAATATATTAACTCATACTTTCGGCAAAGTAACAAGGGTTTAAAAAATATTAAATATATATTTATATTAAATTTTTAAATGTATATATATAATCGGGGCGGGGGCTGGGCAGGTTCATCATTAAATCCACCCCACTCCCTACCCGTTTCGGGTTTTCAATTATTTTACCATTCCCGTCTCAACTTCACTTAGGGAACTACCAAATTCATCCCATTAGGAGTGGGGCAGGATAGAAACCCGCCGGGTCGAGAGAAATTGCCATCCTAAACTACCCCTTAAGGTGAGACCACTAACAATTTGCTATTCTCAATGATTATCGGTATTATATTGAGTGTCTTTTGCTTAATTCACATTGATGGCTTTAACTTTTTTTAACTTAATGTTTCATGAGACACTAAAATCTAAGTTGGGGTTTGATCACTTTTACATACAACCGGAGCTCCACCCAAAATGAGTGGAGCCCATTCAATTTTTTTTTTTTTCTTTTATTGTAAAAAAAATAAATATAAAAAACCTCATAAATGAGTTATAGTTACTATTCGTGAACATGTTTGATTTGTTGTTATAAATTCGCTTTAACAAAAAGAGAGAGGATAAAAAAATAGGAGGCCCTTTATGATATGATGCCTTTCAACCACAAAAGATAAGAGAATCTTGCTGCAAGCTAAGTTCTACTCTTTCTAGTTAGATAAGTTTGAAGTCAATTAAATTTCATGCTTCACCTTGAAATGGAAAAGATTATGATGAGGTAAGTTCTTAGCTCTCATCCATTGAATTGAGAAAAGTTGATGTCAATCTTTTGAACCAACAGATAATGGTTGAGCTAATGCTGAGTTGAAAGACTATAATACTTGGAAATACTTAATTCTTGAAAATCTGAGTACACTTGATGGATGATTCAACCGACTAAAAAGTTCTGAGGTAATATTATAAACTTAATCCTCATTTCAAATGCCATATATCACATGCTATACTAATTTAATATTTGAGAATCTTTGTATTTCAATGACCAATCTTTCACAATATTTTTTAGTTCAACCTTTCCATATGATAAGAATATTTATTGCATCCAACATGAGGAATGCAATCTTCCAAATCCAATTACATCACTATAATAAGGAAAGAATATTAACCTTACAACTCATTGAACACCACTCACACAGGTCAAAGAACTCAATATACATGCACACCTAAAACTATATAAATTAAAGGAGGATTATGTATAAAATAAAAATAAAAAATAAAAATAAAAATCATAATCATCTGTGAACCAATGACTTAAAGTCACCACTAAGTCCAAAAGTCCATGTGTAGCTTCTCAAACAGAACCAAATATTTTGAAAAACACAATCACCCAAAATAGAAAATAAATGAAGGAAGCTAATAATATCATTGAAGTAAAATGTTAGGTTAAGGGAAAAAAAGTTGGAGAGAGAGAGAGAGATAGCTTTTAGGTGCAGTGATTCTGTGACAAAACAGAGAGCACAAATCCAGAGAAGGAAAGTAAATAAAGGGCAGACTCCAAATTGTACTCATCAAAAGCAGGCCAAAATTTGGATCTCTCTCTCTCTCTGCACATTCTGCACATTGAATTCACCAAATCCATTTCAAGCATTTATATCCTTAGACTCCACAATTATTCCACAAGATCTGCAGTATCAACCAGCAAGCTTTCGTATTTTTATTGGTGTGACAGCTAACAGCCCTAGGTGTGTGTTTGTGTGTGTGTGTGTGAGAGAGAGAGAGAAGAAACCAAGCAAGCAAAAGCATGGATGTGGATCAGTTGCAGAGGCGGTTTGTTGAATACACAACTTCTTTGTTTCATGAGGTAATGAACACAATGTAAAAGTGTGGAAACTAACATAAATAATAATAAAAAATTAAAAAAAACAAATGTATTGTATATTTGGTATATGTATTTGTCAGTTGGGTTGTTTTTATTTTAATTTTAATTTTTTATTTCTTTGATTGGTTGGACTTTGTTGATTTTGAAGGGGTTTTTGGATGGTCAGTTTACACAGCTTCAGCAACTGCAAGATGAGAGCAACCCTGATTTTGTGGTTGAAGTGGTCTCTCTCTTCTTTGAAGATTCTGAAAGGCTTCTCAATGATCTCACTACAGCTCTGTAAGTATCCTACTGTGTGTCTGTGTGTGTATATTTTTCTGGGTAGGGTGAAGTTTAGGATGTTATGATGGTGAAGTTTAGGATGTCAAAATTTTTTCTTCTATCTTCTTTGAATTTTTTAATAATATATATATGATGTATGTATATCTGTGTAGAGATCAGCAATTTGTAGATTTCAAAAAGGTTGATGCACATGTACACCAATTCAAGGGTAGCAGCTCCAGGTACACACACAGACCCTTTCAGTATGTGCTTCATTTTCCTGCTTTGCTGTTCTGATGTGTTTAAAGACTACCATGGACTCATTTTTAGCTTCTGTAAAATTCTTTAAATTTTCCTCCAACTTGTATTTAGCCCATTAAAAAAAAAAAAGTTTTAACCAATGTTGACATCTATATATTCCGAACTCTCAAAAGTAACAGCTAATTCAGATCTGTAATTATGTCAAGGAAATACAAATTTTGAAAAAAAAGAAGGGAGTACAAATTGGTCGTTCTTTATATTAAATTTATGTTATGCTTGAATTAGATTTCTTCCAATCCAAAGCACTGATTCAGTGCTTCCAAACGCTACATTACTATTTCTGATGAAAAATATGCGGAATCTTGTGGTTAACAGCATAGGTGCACAGAGAGTTAAAAATGGTTGCATTGCCTTCCGCAACTTCTGTGAGGAACAAAACGTCGAATTGTGAGTAATTTTATTCTCTCAACCTCAAAGCTGAAGTATTTTGTATTTCTAATTTTCCAAACCAATCATATGCTAAATTAATCTGGAAATTGGAATTGAAAGGGAGAATTTGGTGTATGTATATTTAGGTGCATGAGATGCCTGCAACAAGTAAAACAAGAGTACTTGCTTGTGAAGAACAAGCTTGAAGCTTTATTCAGGGTGAGAACAATGAACTTTTGTTGTGCACAACATGCTTTGTATTTGGAGCCTTAGGGCATGTTTGGTTCAATTTTTTGAGAATAGGGTTTCGGTTTTTATGAACTGAAAATCTGAAAACTGTACAAAATTTTGCTTGAGTGATAGTTTTTTTTTATTTTAAAAAAGTTGTTTTTGGAAAACTCACTTAAGAAGATGCCGCTGAAATTTCAGAGACTGTCTTTTATAAGTCTACAAGTCCCTAAAACCAATTTTCTATTTTCCAAATCTAAAAGCCGTACAAAAATTTACTTGGCTGATGGTTTCTGAAAACCCAATTTAAGAAATGTTTGTTTTCATTTAACGGTATTTTATAATTTTCTGAAAATAATTTTCTATTTTCTAAGTTTTTGATAATAGAAAATTAAACCAAATAGGCCCTTACTCTCTTGATTAGTAGATGTAAGCATGCATAAGTCATATCTATTTTTGTTGGTTGTAGATGGAGCAACAAATTGTGGAAGCTGGTGGGTCAATTCCTATGATGGAGTGAACTTGAGAGTTCCTGTGAAGAAGCTCTTATTTAGTTTTATGAACCATTTCACCACCAAAGGTTATCTTAGCTACTGAGCTTGTGCTTGTATGAATTTAATTAAAGAGAAGGCAAACATGCCTTTTTTTTTTATTTTTTATTTTTAATCTAGTGCCACTTTCGTTGATGTTCAACTTGTAAGTTCATTGCTTTCTGATAGACTAGGGGTCCATTTGGCAATTGTCTTTGTTTCGACCCAAAGCGTAATGTTTCTGCTTTAGAATGTTCAATACTATTTTGAAACTTGTTTGGTAAAGTAAATTTGTTGCAAGATTTTTAAAAACAAAAATATGAAAACATGTTTGGTAAGAAGTTTTGCAAGTTTGAAAATTTGAATGGCTACTTAAAAATGTCATTTTAGAAAGGATATATATTTTTTTTTTTGGTTTTTTTGAACAGTGCTATGCTACAATGCGGAAGCAAACAAAAATATTATTTTTATTCTTCCGATTTTGGCCTATTTTTCGAAAGCGTTTCGGTACTATTTAAATAACAGTAAATGTTACTAAACATGTTTTGTTCTTTTATTTCGCTATAGTATACAAGCAAAAGCAAAAAATATGAAGTAAAAGCATTAGCCGTATATGCCCATTATTTTAGCTTTTCACTCCATATGATTGATAAAAAAAAAGAAAAAAGAAAAAAGAAATCAATTGTGGGATTTTCATTTGAACTTTATACATGGCAACTTCATGAAGAAATGATTATTGAACAGAGACTATGTTGTCTAGACTATTGATTACCCAAAGTTCAATCTACTAGGAAATGAATCATTCCTTAGCCACATAGGGAACAAATCATACCTTAACCAAGGCTATGATACTATGAAAGCAATACAAAACCAATGCCAAATAAGTGCAAGATAGAAAGAAGAATGAAGAATGAAGAATGAAGGCTAAAGGTAGTGTTTCATTACTCAATCTTCAATTCAGCATTAAGTTATGAACAAATTAAGTATTTATTTAATTAGTTAAGTATGATTGATAATGCAATTTGAATATCACTGAAAACCGTAACCTTTACTTAAAATGTAGTAAAATTTAAATAATAGGTACGTCCTGAACATTGAAAAGATATAAAAAAAATATTTATTTTTTAATACCACTTTAAAACTTTGGTACTTAAAATTTAACTCTTAAAATTTTTAATACTTAATTTTCAGTTTTATCAAACAATACCTAACATTTGGGGGTAAGTTCATGAGGTCTCACTTTCGAACCGCATCACTGACTTGAATGGTGTGTGTGTTGACCTCAACTAAGGTACTATATACTAGTTATACAACTTATACAACATAACCTTCAAACATTATTTTGCACAAAGTGTAAGAATGAATTCATTATTTTAAAGTCACAAAATGATTAAAATTCATTATTATTTATACATGTGAAAAGATTATTTTTCGTTTTGAATTCCTGAGTTCCAAATGACAAAAGAACAATGTTACTGTAACCTTCAAAAAAATATAAATTATTTATTGAATTAAAAATAGTAATAGTTATTGGTATAGATACACGAGTCTTGTTAGTTGTAAAGAATTCTTGTCCAACATCGAATCTGAATGGAGATCTTGGACTTATAAGAATTATATACACACACACACATACGTGGAAGGGCGAATCCAGCATTTCTGAATGGGGTGAACTACCTTTGCATTGGGTTAATTTGGGGTGGGCTACTATTAATATTTTTTTTTATTAATTTTTTTAGGATGGGCTTAAAGTAGTATGGTAAAATTGTTTTTTTTTTTTTTTTTGGGACCCCACCTTCACCCACCCCTATTAAATGAAAAACTAAAATCCAACGTACATACGTACATATCATGTATTGTGTCACATGATAAGTTATATTCTTTACCAATAAAAATAGAACATCTGTATTATATAATGTTTGTATATGTGTTTATACAAACATATTAATTTTGTAGTTGATTGTGGTGAAAAGAACAAAACAGAAAACAGCTCAACTGGCCTGAACATGTGGTTATATAGATATGAGAAAGTCTCCCAACAAACAGAATCATCCTTTGGACAAAACACTGTTTGTGTAGCATAAATTATTAAATTGACACATAATATTGATTAGTGTGTGATATGATTCCATAAGGTCAATTTAATTTGTTGGGCTGTCTCTCTGTCTGCTGCAAAAATGGTGGACAGAAAAGCAGGTATTTTAGTCTATTATTTGCATTTAACTTTAAACAGTTGGAAAAAGATATAATAGTGACAGCATAATTGGTCTTTCTTTAAAGCAATATCCCATTTTGTTGTGAAGGAAATCTACGAAAAATGATAGAACTATGTTGACAGCTAATGATAGGAGCAATATAATAATAATAATAAATAATAATAAGTCAAGGATCAAATGTAATTTAAAAAATATGGACACTCTGACACAACATGGACACTGACAAAGTGTAGTAGAAAAATAAAACACTACCAATACATGAAAAAAAAAAAGAAAAAAAATAGAGAGGATATTCTACAATTTTTTTATTGTAAAAAATGGTTAGATGAGTATTAGGATGGTAACGGGCAGGTTTGGAGTGAATTTCTTTAAATTTTGCCCCGCTCCTTTTAATTTTTGTCAAGTCCATACCCGTCCCGAGACCCGCGACGGGTTAGATTTTCATGTCCAGCCCCGCCCCATTAGAAAATACTGTGCCTTGTGCCCGCCCCGCTAACAAATTTTTTTCTCCCACTTTTTGGAACTTAAGCTCTTGCTATTTAAATGTGAAAAGTTTAGGAATGGCACAATATAAATGAAATTATGTATCCCAATAAACATAAAAAAATAACATGCACATAACATAATTCAGATAATATAATAAACAAAAATAAAAGTTTAATACAACCAAATCACAAGAAATTCTAATCCCAACTTCCACCATAACCAAAACAAAAGCAAATTTAATACCAAGTTTACATCCCAAATTAGGATGGTAAGAGATGGGTAATTGGGTAAGCCGCTAAAATAAGTTATTAATATTATATATATATATATTAAATATAGTTATATGCTTAGCGGGGCGGGGCGGGGCCCCTAGGATATGTATACTAAACCCTTACCCGCCCTGTGACCCGCGACGGGTACAAAATTTGTATCCATGCTCACCCCAACGGTATAAAAAGTGTTCCCATATCCGTTATTAACGAAGCGGGACGAGGCGGGGCCCCGACGGGGTGGTAAGAATTGATATCCCTAATGAGTACACAAGACTCCGATGTTACAAGGTTTGAGGAGGATTAAATATACGTAATTTTACTTTCATAAATAGTAAAATATGGTACGAATAAAAAAAGGATTCAGAAACAAACGACCAATTTTTTATTTTTTTAATATGTTATAAAAATTCTATAGAAAAAAGAAAAACATAAAAATTCGAATATTGATATGTACGTGTATAATACGTAGTATGAATTAAAAATTTGGGATCAAAAATTTACTGATATATACACAAATTATTTAAAATCGTTTCATTCGGGTTGGTGGTAAAATTATATTTTACCATGTCATTAAACCTGAATGACAAAAGGAAGTATTTTCCTAAAATTTGTATGTACACATATAATTTATTTATTTATATTTTTATTTATTATTATTTTTTTTTAGAGTAAGAAAGACCTCAAGGACTTACCTCTCGAATCCTTGCCGACACTGTTATATCCCTGGGAGCGTACATACACATATAATTTAATTTACTAACTAGGTTTCGCATGCAGATAGACTGTTTTGCATTTTTTATGTATGTATCTTTCATTCTTTTTCTTGCAATTGTTCATTTATATTTCATGCTAAAAAAAATAATAATAAAATTTTAGTTTTAAATTATAAATATGACCAATATATGTTGGGAAATAATGATCCTTAGGTGTAATTTTTTTTTATAAAAAATATCACATCTTTTAAGTGACATCTATGAAGGGTTAAGTGCATAAAACACCCCTGTAATATAGGTTTTGTGCACAAATAGACCATTCTTTTTGAAAATGTGCATTTTAGTCCATAAAATTCAGAAAAATGTGCAAATAAGTCCATCTGACCACTTTTTAGTCAAAATTGACATAAATAAATTTAAAAACCCTAATTTGGCCTTTTTTTTTTTTTTTTTTTTTTTTCCTACCCTTTGGTAGAAACTAGAGACCGATTTAGTAAGTTAGTCATCGGTGGAGATTCAGACATCGGTGAAACCAACTCCAGCAACATCCATAACAAACTGTCCTCTACGTTCAGACCATCCTACTCATCAGACGCGCCAACCGGTGCTTCATGATCTGCAAGCGCTACAAATGTAACCCACCTCTTTCTCTCTATGGTGGTGAAATCGCCCTCGCTGATCCTCCATCTTCCTCACCACTGTCAATCCGCTGTTAGTCCACCATCTTGTGCTCACAGTGATCCCAACAACCTTCACGTCATACATAACCATCCTCACCATCATCACTGTTGTACATCACCATCCTCACCACCATTAAGATCTCTGACTTTGGCCTTCTGCCCTCTCGGATCAGTTCAAAAATGACCTCCTTAACATTGCTTGCAGAACTTCGACGTACACCGCACCAGAGGTTTTCACCTGAAAAGGCTACAATAGCGCTAATGCCGATATCTGGTCTTGTGGGGTAATCCTATTCGTCTTCCTTACCGTATACCTCCCTTTCGATGACAGCAACACACCAGAGGATCGGTCCTCTCTCCACCATCATCTTAGCCAGTTTTTTCTCTAACAAGTCCAACGCCAACTTCTTCGCTTGTTCAATCTTTGACAACTCCAGCGTCAGATTTGGACTGTGACGGCCCAAGTTTTCAAAACTCGGTGCGTCAGCGAGGACCTGAAACTGACCCAATAACGGATCCCAAATGCGGAAGCGAATAAAAGAACAAAGTCTCCAGAGAAGTATATCATCCCTAAGACGACAAAGTGACTTCCCATGAAGTTACGAAACTCAAAAGAAAATAAAAGTGGAAAATAGGGTTTTAAAATGGACAAAATGAACCACTAGGTGAAATATGGTCATTTCACACAGAAATAGATGCTACCGTGCATACCATTGGATTGACAACGAAAAATTAATAAAGTTAGACTCAAGAATCACTTGATTCGGAATCCGGATGAAGAAGTTATGGCCGAAACAAAATCAGGTTGCAAAGCTGCCAAATTTTATCCTTAAACCTACATT